GAGAGAGAGAGAGAGAGAGAGAGAGAGAGAGAGGAAAGTGTCAAAAATATCAGTTTCAAAAATATGATTTTGTTATGGGATTAATATAAAAATTTCTGATATTTTGAATGTCATAATAGAGTCGATTCCTAATTGGCTTATATTCATGAGAGGGAGAAATTCATTCAAATAGTTGTTATGAAAAGCATTTCGAAAATATATATAATTCAGTGATTGAATAGCGTTGAGTCGCTTACGAATAAATGCATAATGTTTTCAATATCCATACAATTTACACACAAAACCATGAGTTGAGCAAAAGTTTTCATACATTTATATACATAACGTAATACTTGGTTTCAAGCCATCTGTGGTTTGGGTTTTTTGAAAGCAATACTAGTTTTACAGTGAAGTAGTGTTGCTGTCAATCGCTTCCACCGGTCCTCATGAGTAGTCAGTCCTCATATCCCATAAGTTTTCCAATCCTCTCTCTCTCTCTCTCTCTCTCTCTCTCTCTCTCTCTCTCAGCGCCTTTTCACATTTTACATATAAAACTCTTTAAAATTTTCCAATTCAATAGAAATTCACTATTGATTTCTATTTGTGCCCCAAATATAAGTGTCGTCTTCATAAACAGAAAGCGACTGAAAATTAAACGCAAACTAAATATATGTGTCGTTAAAAACGAAGTGTTGTAAATGTGTACAGAATATAGAGGAGACTCGACTTTCACTCATAATATACTATAAAAGTTTGATATTTAACACAAAACCAATCATTTTTTGTAGATTTTTATGTTTGCTTATAAACCCGTAAATAGCTTTGAATGCGAAATATAAATGATATAAATATAAAAAGCATAAATTTTACCACTATTTTAAAAGCACTTATATTTTAAGAGTTAATATAAATATTATATGTTTTTCGGTTCAAAGAGTCTTAATTCATAGTTTCTGTCGATGAAAAAAGATTCAATGGATTCATAAGTTATTTTGGGATCAAATATACTTTCAAAATGAAAGATATTAAACATTGAAATGAAAATATTTCCCACTTATGTTACAAATTATGTAATTTTGATGTTCAGTAAAATGTGTCCGAAATTATATTTTAGTTTAATTAAAGATGAGAACAAAGCTTTTCTTTCAATTTAAATTATTCATTCATTTGAGTTTATTTTATTCATTATATTTTAAGCATTTATACAGACAATGGTTTGCAACAGAATTAATATTATAGTTAATTGTAATGCAAATTGAGTACTAATTTGAATTTTAATTGAATAATTAACACAACTAATGAATTCGTAATTTAATTACTTAGTTATAAACTAAATTCTTTTATATGAAATTAAAATTGAAACTAAATATTTAATGAAATTTAAGAATTAATGAAACAAATAATTTGACCAAAAAATAAAGAAATCTTAAATTTACATGAATTACAGCTATATTTCTATCAGTTTTAATCATTAAAAATACTTTGTTATTAAATAAAATAATACATCTTAAGAATAAGTAAATAATTATTTTTATAATTCTTTTCAATAATAGTTATACCGAAAGGAAATGTCTTAAAACAAGTAAAGCCTTTGTAATACTATTGACCGGAAGAGATGGCAAAAGGATGTGTTATTCAATTACTGATGCAGTTATTACTGTTGGAGGGCTTGTGTTGGCACAGATGTGAGGGCCGGCGAACACCAGTGTTCTCAGCGTCAATGCCGGGCAGATGTCCTTCACCTCCGTGTGAGTGCACCGCCGATGACCTGAACCGGAAACAAGTCACGTGTTCGCCGGGCAATCTCACATCCATTCCCGTCGACAAAATGGATAAATCAATTCAAGTGAGTCTTCGCTACCAAACAACTTGTTACTACTTTTACATACTTTTCATTCACTTTTGGTTTTGGGATTGAATTAATTATTAATGAAAAACAATATCGTCTGTTATAACAGGTCCTCAACATAACGGCCCCTCAAAGTAATGTCAATCACATAACTCTGGGAAGAATATTCTTAGACTTATACCAATTAGAAGAAGTACACATCACTTATAGCAATTTGCCGGCAATCGGCGACTCGTCCTTCTGGCCGGGAACAGCTCTGCGACTCTTGAATCTAAGCCACAACAGCATTACGATCGTTAGGGACAGCGATTTCAATCGGTTGGACAGTTTGACAACACTAGACCTGAGCGACAATCACCTGTCGAGAGCCCCGTCGGCCGCCTTTCGTCATCTCACAAATTTAACATCACTTTCATTGGCTCGCAATCGGTTCGCAAAACTGGTTCCGCGACTCTTCTTCAAACTCGAGAGACTGGAAGTGTTAGATCTGAGCGGAAATCCGTTGCGCGAAATACACGGCGAAGACTTTAAAGACATTAGAAATCTAACGGCTCTTAATCTATCGAAATGTCGTTTAGAGAAACTCCACTCAATTGTATATAAAGGTCTCCCAAACCTAACATATCTTGATTTAAGTGATAATCAGTTCATGTATTTGCCGTCACATGAGTTCAGTTTACTCACGAGTCTACGAGTGCTTCGGCTAAACGGCAACAAAATATCTGTTTTGTTAGACAATACGTTTAGTGGCCTCCAAGGACTGGACCTTTTGGATCTGTCCAACAATCACATCAATGCGATGTATTCGTGCACTTTTTGCAACACATCCATCAGTAAACTGGATATTTCGCAAAACATGTTCACATCATTTCAGTCCAAAATTCTGGAGCCGTTGTCGGACTCGTTGACAACACTGGAGGCCCACTCGAGCCGACACCTGATCGACTCGACGGCGAGCGTCGCTTATCTCATACAACCGCTCAAGAGATTACAGCATTTGTCGCTCGCATTCAACTCATTGGACGACACGATCATTGACTCCGCTTTCTATAACTTGGATTCATTGCTCTCATTGAATATGTCTTATAATAAATTCGCGAATATAAGCGCCCGACTCTTCACACCACTCATTAACCTCCGGAGTCTGGATCTGTCGCACAACCGGATCTTCGGTTTGGGGTATCCGGTGTTCGCACAGATCAACGCTCTGAGCAAACTGGAGGCCGTCTACTGGAACGACAATCCCTGGTCGTGCTATAGGTGTCATATAATGGCTGCCGTCGATTGGTTGGACACATCGCCGACGCCGTACTTCAATGTGTGTCACCGATACTCGAAGGAGGAATCGCGGCTCAAATACTGCATTAAGTGCTCGACGCCCGCAAAGTTGGGCCAAAAATATCTACACCTTCTCAACGAGTTTGATCTCGAGTGGTGTTCCGACCCCAGGGTTCAGCTCAGACTGACCGCCTCTGAGCCGCAGATTGGACTCATTTTAGCCATTTTTATCATATTGTCGTTACTGTTTGTCATAATAGCGGTGATTGTGTTTTACCGAAAACAGGGAGCAGTTTATTACACCCACGAAGACGACCGATACTTCGAGGAGAAGATCCCGGTGCCCGCAGTCTTCAGTGTGGCCGCCAATACTGCTGTCAAACAGCCCATCCATTGTCACGTCCAGCCGCCGCCCTTTCAGCCCCAACCCCCTCCTCAGCCCCCATCGCCTCACTCTTCGCCCACCATTACATCGTCATTGATCTCAAAGCCCGAGTCACCCAAAGCTGGTCCGTCAGCCATGACAACAGCCACGACCACAACAACAATGCGAATCATACGACCAAAAGTCCAAATCTATATTTAGATTTTAACTGTTTTTTAAAGTGTACTTTATTTACAAGTTTTCTATGCTTTTAGACAATGACTTCTATTGTAATTCTCTCTTCAAAGAAGAACTCTTTTACTGAATTTTTCTTTGAGAAAACTTTTTGTTTATTTTGTATATAAAAAATATAGAGAAAACACTTTTAGATATTTATTAATTGATTGTTTATATTATAACTTAATTTATATCAGATATTATATAATTTATAAAAAAATTCATTTTTTCAATGATTTATTGAATTGTAAAAACATAATTTCATTTCAAGGTTTCATACATTTATACGAAAGTATCTCAAAATATGAACAAAAAGTGTTGATAAACTGTTTTCAGTGTTTGAATAGTGTCTGAAAAACTAACTCCAGAAACGATTGAAAATATGAAAGGCATTAATAACTTAACACGAGGTTTGGCCAGAGGTTTGGTTCCCTCCTTCTTCAATGTTCATTTCTCATACGTTTTTACCCTAATGTGCTTTAAATGTATATTGAATTAATCTGGGTAGTTACTAAAATTAAGCAACACTTAAAAGTGAATCATAATTAGTGTAAACCCAGCCATTGATCCCAATTGCAGACAATCCCTGGCCATCCCTCTAATAATGTTGTCTATAAAATCTGATGTTTATATTATATTATATAAAGATCTTGTGTTACAAATCTTCTTCCAATTGAACTGAACTTTGATTCTTAACTGATTTCTTGATTATTAAACCATTTTTTTGCAAATGAATTAAAATAAATGTTTGTTTCACTGAATTTTCTTAAACATCACAAAAAATGTTTTGCAAGAATTGCACAAAAAAATAAAGTCAACAAATGGCCAGAACTTAATTCCGTTCACTGATTAAACAGATTTCAAATGAAAAAATAATAATTTTTTTTATACAACTTTTATATAAGTTTTATAAGTTATTCATAATAACAGTAAATATAAATGTCATCCAAATATTCATCGTTAATATTCTTCATATACACAAAAAACTAACAAATGTTAGAAATTTAAGTTTATTTAGGATTCGCCACTTATCTATCATTTTTTAAATGATCTAACTTTGTGTTAAAATAATATAAATATTATGTGACATAAATTATAACTGAATGTTTAGTTAGGATTTAAATACTAGACAAAAGAAAATACTAAATTATTTTAGGTTTTGTTCATATTTTTATCTCGTTTTTGTGGTTCTGTTTATTTATACAATAGGAGAGAAACTGTTAAGTATTTATAGCAAAACGAGAAGTTTGTCAATAATAAAGATAATAAACGCTATACTTTTATAGGCTTTTTGTGGACAAAGTATATTCAGAATTGTCTTCGAGAATATCAATGACAAGACTTGAATGTGGTTTTTGGCAATAAGTGTTCACATGACAGCCCCTCCGGCGTTAGCATCGGATCAAACAAATGAGTGCTTTTTGCACCCAAATTGCAATTTAAATACATTATAAACTATTTGTTTAGTAATAATGTCCTCACGAATACATTATTGGTCACTAAATAAAGGATCCAAAGTCTAACAAATGAGGTCCGAATAGGATTTGTCTCAACTTCACAATAAACCATAAATTCATGTGATTTCTTCAACATTGATGAAAACTCAATTTAGCGTTTACTGTAACTAACAGAATAAACTACCTTTTACTGAATGTAATTTATTTTATTAATTTAGCTCAATAACAACCAATGATCAAACGTGGTTAACATCAAAAAATAAATTCTTCAAAATATTTTAAACTATTTGTGAATGAATGCATCAATTTTTGAAATTCTGTAGTCAATGCCTCCATAAAAACATTAAATGCTTAAAAGGTATTGAATTACTGTCTATTTGTATCATTAGACCAATTATTCGCTTATTAGACGCCAAATAAAATAACAATATTTTAAAACTTTTGGTTTCAATTGGAAACTAAATTGTGAGAAAAAAATTATTCTATGCTGTAATGTGTGAGCCCTGAAGATCATCGCATAGATATATGTCGAGAATATCTGTTATAGAATTTAAATTATTTATAATAAATAATATTTTCCCTTAATTTTGAAGTTTTTGTAACGAATTCAATATGTGTTCAAATACTGAGATAAGAGAGAGAGAGAGA